GGAAAAATTATTCAAATCATTAGATTGAGATGATTCAACGGAAATGGTTAAAAATATGGTTATAACCACCTTTATTGAAGATTTAAACATAATTTCCCCAAGTTTTTAAATGCGAAATTGGCAAAATGTAACAAAAATTAGAGCTAAATATACACAAAAGAAACTATCACTTTATTATCTTTAATTTGACAGTCATTTTGATATATTTTTCATCTGATTTATTTATGATTCTTTGGTTCTTTTTTAGTATTCTCTATGGATCTATTCCCTTATCCATATACATACTGTTGATCATCTCTCTCAGTGATTTGATGATAATTCCTTTTACCTAATACGAAGTATTTATGTTTCTGTCTTTCAGTTCCAGCGATCAACACTGAGTCTGTTCAATGATCACTTAGAACATGTAATATAAATCCATCAGCGACAACGATACTTCAAGAAGACAAAACTCTCACCAAAGAACCTTCAGCAAAAGTCGAAGACTGAAACTGAAGATTAGAGACTCGCGAGTTCGTGATCTGAAGCGATATTCAGTGATTACAGCCTAGTCTATCTATGTGTGAAGACTGCCCAAGCCTCAGCGAATGCTGAAGAGACCTTCAGGTTATTCTAGCATTCAGCGATCAAAAGAAGCTTGTTGAGCACGATTGTTTTTGTCTTGTCCTTRTACATTCAAAGGACAAACTCATACCCTTTCTAGAGCATAGTACGGTACGTAGCCGATTAGTTGAATCTACTACCCATGAACTCCAATGAAGGATGTCTGCTCATGAGTAGGCTTTTGTACTATTCACTATAGCAAAGGACAAGTCTTTCTCTAAAGGCTTGACACATGTTCAAACCCTAACGCATTGCATAAAATGTGCATTTAATGCAATTGGTATAAATAGATGTGTTATATCTCCATGCAGAGATACCGATACTTACTCTTGAATCCTAACTTATGTTCATAAGTAAAAGAACACACATCTAAGAACACAATACGCTTTCAAAAGCAAGTTAGAATCCTTTTTTAGTGTTCTAAATAGTTATTAYCCAGAAAGAACTTACTTTCTTCTAAGCCTTAAACGTCAAATCATTTCTCTTTGCTCAGAATTAGTGTATAACTTAGATCGTTTAGATAGGTTATATTTACCTTTTCTCTCCGCAAATAATCTTGTAAAATTTGTATTGATCCTTCTTTATAAGTATATATTTTAAATTTGAAAAGTTTACTGTGTTTATATTCAACCCCCCTCCCTTTCACAAACTGTTATACACTTCTTGTAGACCTTAACGGGACCAACAAGTGGTATCAGAGCAGTGTATTTTCTATTCTTGTTGTTTAGTTGTATTTCTGCATTATATTATCTTTTTCTCTAGATAATCTTACTGCTTTCAAATGGCTTTACAAAATACAAACACACATTTTCATGATAATGGCTCTTTTGCCAAACCACCTCGTTTTATCCGAGACAACTTTAGTCTTTTGAAAAATCGGATGTCCTTCTTTCTAGAAGGTGTGGATCCTGAAATTCCAGACTGTATAGAAAATGGARCATATGCTCCATATGTTATTTCTTCGGCTGTTCCTGAAGCAGTTACGACTGCCGCGATTCCTGAACGGCAGATTCCAAAGCTCCCTCATCAATGGAGCAATGAAGACAAGAAGAAGATAGTTATAGACACTCGTGTTAGGTCTATAATAGCCATGTCTCTTCCTGATGAGGTTTATCATTCTGTGGGATACTTTATGTGTTCAATATGAAGGAACCTCTCAGGTTCAATAATCAAGGAAGATTAATTTAGTAAGACAATATGAAAGCTTTCTCTGTGAAAAGACTGAAACATTGTCTGAAGTACATCAACGTTTTAATTGTCTTCTTATAGATTTAAGGACTGTAGGCAGGGAATATTCCAATTCTAAAACTTTAACGAAGTTTCTAGAATGTTTACCTRAATCTTGGGATACTTATGCCATGTGTCTCAAGATGTCCAATGACATGTCCTCTCTCTCTCTCTCTTAGCACTCTTTATGGGATACTGCTTAATCATGAGTAGTCTCGATAGCTAAAAAGGAATCTAATCAAGGATTCCAGAGAAATGAAGAGCTCTCCGTTAGCTCTAATCTCTGAAGATGCTTCAGCTGAAATCCCATCTTCTTCTTCTTCTTCTTCTCTTCCTCCTGTTGTAATCAATGAGTTAGATTCTACTAACTCTGAGGATTTATCAGAATCTGATCTTGCAGATTTTGATAAATCACTAGCGCTATTAACTAAATCTTTTAGGAGATTCGCCAAGAAAAGTAACTTTCGCAGATCTCCTTCGCTGACCATCAAGGAAAAGCCAAAGTCTGATAACATAGACAAGGCTTTAGCGATCTGCTACAACTGTCACCGCAAGGGTCACTTTGCTGGTGAATGCATGTCTAAGAAGACTGTGACGCCATCTTCTAAAACCCCATCCTCCTTCAGATCTAAGGATGACAAATACYTGAAGATGAAGGAGAAGTACAAGAAGATGAAGAACTTCCAGCGAAAGGCCAAAGGTCTTGTCGCTGAAGAGCACGATTGGGTTGATTCATCTGATGAATCATCATCTGATGAGGAAGATACGACCTATCTCTGCTTAATGGCCAAAGATGTCAAAGAAGAAGATTCAGAGACATCAACCTATAACGACCCCTCATCATCCTCACATGCTCAAGTATGTCTCCTGAATGAACCCTCTTCTTCTTCTTCTTCTTCTTCCAGCCTATCAGTGTTAGACACGCTGATGGTGCACCATTACAATGCCCTGAATGGCAAGTCAAAAGAAGAAATGCTTAATCTTGATCTTCAAGAACAGTTGAAGACTTGTCATTCAAAGATCAAAGAACTGACTAAGGTTAAAGAAAATCTTAAGGATCAGGTCATTATGAACCAAACCATCACTGTCGAACGCGAACAGGCTATAGCTGAGCGTGAGCAAGCAATTGTTGAACTTAAAGCTGAGAAGGCTACTATAAAAGGATGGTGCAAAGCATCTGTCAAGGCCTCAAAGATCATTAACGCTCAGGTCCCTGCCAAGATAAAGATTGGTCTAGGATTCTCCTATGATCAGAAAGACAGTGTCATTGACAGATCCATGCTCAAGTTTGGTACCTTTGTCTCTTCTATTCCTAACACTTCTTCTTCTCAGTCATCTTTTGCTGAGAGTCATCTTGATGGAACTCCTTCGAGTTCAGGTTGCAAAGACAAGGGTAAATCCATTGTCATATAACCTCTTCCCATGAARACTAACAAGTCAAATAGATCTAAATCTATTCCTTCAGCTTGTAAACCTTCTTCTTCTTCAGGGACTAAAAAATCTGAACCTTCTCAGAAATCTAAGTCTAAGCTCAAGGTGAATGATTCACCTAAGGACTCCAAATCCTCAAAAGTTCCTCCTAGAACTAATGAGAAGGGAATCCTTGAAGTTGGTCCCTCTTCAAATCTGGTACTTCTTAACCCTAAAGCTACCTTCAGCTATAGGAAGTGTAAGCACTGTGGTAAAACTACACACATTGCCAATAAGTGTCCTTCTACTGCCAAGGCTGGTCCACAAGCCAAGGGCAAGAAAGTAGCTAAGGCTGAGAAATCAACCAAAGAAAAATCATCCACTAAGGTTGTTAAAACAATCAAGGTGAAGAAAACCACTGTAGCCTCTTCTGCAGGCTCAGTGAAGACAACTACTGGTGCTAAGCCTTTAGTATCAAATGTTGTAGTTCCACCACTGAAGCCTTTTCATCAGGCTCAGTGAAGACACCCATTGACTCTATCTCTCTAGTATCAGAGGTCGTTCCTATTTCCACTAAAACCTCTCCAGGTTCAATGAAGCCGTCTGCTGACGCTGATTCTTCAGTTTCCATAGATGAAGCCTCTAACATTGTTGGACCCAAATAGATGGGTATCAAAAGCATTTTCAAACTGTTCCCTTRTGCAAGAAGTCAAAGCATATGGTATCTTTATAGTGGATGCTCAAGGCACATGACCGGAGACAAATCTCTGCTCATTAACTACAAGGAAGAAAGTGGACCTTCCGTAACCTTTGGAGGTAATGGAAAAGGATATACCAGATGTTTTGGTATATTAACCAACGGCGCAATCACATTCAGGTGTGTTACATACGTTGACGGACTAAAACACAATCTCCTCAGCATCAGTCAGCTGTATGATAAAGACTACACAATGAAGTTCTCCAAGAATTCATGCTATATCTATGACAAAGATGATAAGGTTGCCTTGACCGGTTCTCGTCTAGAGAATGTGTTGGTCCCAAAGGGTCTACAAGAATACTAAACA